GCCCACATTGTACTCTCTCTCTCTCTCTCTCTCTCTCTCTCTCTCTTTCTCTCTCTCTCTCTCCCCTCTCTCTCATTGAAGTTGGCTAAGCTTTCTTTTTCTTTCATTTGCTTCTGATATATGCATTAGCACAATTTTAGGAACACATTAATTCTAATTTGGGGAGGTCAGAGTTTTATTTTGTTTTTCTTTTCTGGAAGACAGTATCAAGCATGCTATTTAGAAACCCTCAGAAAGAATAGCAATTAGCTGCGAGACCACCAAAACGATCCTGAGCTCATCTATTCTCTGAACACCCACGTAACCCTCAACCCATTTCAAGCCACTTCAGAAAGTTCTAAAAGGATGCCATTGCATCTTAGTTCCTTTTCCTGCTTTCAATACTATTAATTTGCCACCCACTTACCAGAGAAACTGTTTTTGCTGAAGGGCCATGCCCCAGGGTACTCAAAGATAAACTCCTTCCTCTGTGTTTATGGATCACTCCTAGATATGCTCAGGGGACCAATCACAGAAATTACAGCATGTTGCTCCCCACACAAAACTTTTCAAGGAACTTCCAAGAGCACCCGAACTAAGATTTAAAGCTTTTGTCATGGCCTTCCTATTTCGATCCATGTCCCCCAAGATATGGCGCTCCCCTCACAACAGTCAAGTTTATATCCTAATTTCAACTGTGGGTGCTGTGAAGCTTTCTATTTGTTTTCAAATGAATTCATTTACGATTAGCAGTGCACGTTTGCTTAGTAGACCTACTTGATCTGCAGCTATGCAGAGCCAAAAGGAAAAAGTTTAAGGCGTGACTAGACCTTGTTACCACTCTGCTCCATTCCTCCAGGGTCTCCTCCTTCTGTGCCTCTGGAGCGGCCACAAAGACCCTACACAACCAGCAATCTATTGCCCCCAGGCCCATTTTGGTATCAGTCCCACCCAAACTCCTAGCACTTTGCACATCCCAAATACTAGTCCCCCATCTCCTCCAGGGCCTCAGGACTTGACCCCCATGCCCCAAGAAAAGCTCCAGTGATGATAATGAGACTGTCAAGTCTGTCCACATGGACACTCCAAACTCCCTTTCCTGCCTTCTCAGTGCCTCTCACCACACACGCATGTCAGGTCATGAAAATTCCACCTGGCCAGTGAACCACTAGAAAGTGTCAAGCAATGGCCTTTGGGTTGTGGGTCTGCTTTGTTTGTGTTTGCTCCCCTGTGCCCAGAACTGTGCCTGGCACCTACCGGGTGCTAACTGAAGGATCTGATCCTGCCTTCCTGCCTGCCTCCCTAGTATCTCCCACCTTCTCTCCCATCTTCATCAAGGTCCTGTCACCACAACCTGCTCTCTCGGCCCTGGAGTTCAGGTTAAGGTCCTCAGCCACGATATTCCCTTCTGTCTAGCAGGTTCTCTCCATTAGCCCGAGAACTTGATGTCGTTCACAGCCGCTTCCTGCAATTGCTGGCTCAGTAAAGATCTGTTGGCAGAGGAATCAACCATCTTCATGTGGGTCTTAGTTTTACCAAGGATAACAGAACACTAAAGCTAATCTGAAGATACTTTGGCCCCTTTATGAAATCCTTTACATTCTCCTCGGACTTATGGGTTACAAAGTCCCACCTGCAGCAGCTCCAAGAGAAGCTTGGGGCGGAATGAACAGAGTTGTACTATCAGTTGCTCATGGGAGCAAAGGGCTAACCCCGGAGCTCTGGTGAAAGCGCGGGGCTGGGTCTAAGCTCACTGCACTGGGCTACTAGGCTGCCGCAGAGAAAATCAGCAGCCGTTTCTGCCCGGGGAAGGAGTTTCACGAAACCACCACGTATTGCAGCTGATTTGCTGCAAGCTCATCGTGGGCAGGGGGGGCGAGGGGGGCGCTGCAGTGCAACGCCGAGACTTCTTGTTTTCTGAAGTTTTCCACGACGGACCTGTGGGTCCTTCGGGAGCTAAGGCTTGAAGGACGCCCGCGCTGGGTCAGCACCGGGTGTCCGGGGCACTGGCCCGGCGGCGCCACGATCGAGGGGGGCACCGTGCGTGCGGGGAGACGGCTGTGCTCCCGGAGCCAGCCGGAGCGAGCCGTCCAGGATCGCCCGGGCAGGACACTACGCGGCGCCAGCTCCCGCCCGCCCCGGCCTGGGCACGGGCAGCCCCGTCGCGTCTCGCGCGGCTCACCCGTAGGTGGTCAGCAGCACCTTGTTGACCAGCACCAGGAGGAAGGAGCAGCTAGCGTAGAAAAGCGCCGAGAGCAGCCGGGCCGGCCGCGAGGGCAGCCCCGCGGCGCCGGGCTCTGAGTCCTCGGCCTGGCCGCTCGCAGGCATCGTTGGGCCGCCGCCGGCTGCGTCCCCGCCCCGCAGGCCCGGCAGGGGCGCGGCCCCCGCAGGAAGGGCCGGCCCGGAGCCTCGGCCGCCTCCCGCGGGCCGCGAGGTCCTGCCCCGGCTCCCCTCGGGCGATCACGCGCGTGCCGGGCCCCCCTCGGGCGGACACGCGTGTCCGGGGACCCCCCACGTGCGATCACGCGCGTCCCAGGCCCGCTCAGGCGAACACTGTGACCGGGGATCCCCCTCGGGTGATCACGCGCGTCCCGGGCCCCCCTCGGGCGGACACGCGTGTCCGGGGACCCCCTCGTGCGATCACGCGCGTCCCGGGCCCGCTCAGGCGAACACTGTGACCGGGGACCCCCTCGGGTGATCACGCGCGTCCCGGGACCCCCTCGGGTGGACACGCGTGTCCGGGGACCCCCCACGTGCGATCACGCGCGTCCCGGGCCCCCTCAGGCGAACACTGTGACCGGGGACCCCCTCGGGTGATCACGCGCGTCCCGGGCCCCCCTCGGGTGGACACGCGTGTCCGGGGACCCCCCTCGTGCGACCACGCGCGTCCCGGGCCCCCTCGGGCGAACACTGTGACCGGGGACCCCCTCGGGTGATCACGCGCGTCCCGGGCCCCCCTCGGGCGGACACGCGTGTCCGGGGACCCCCCTCGTGCGACCATGCGCGTCCCGGGCCCCCTCGGGCGAACACTGTGACCGGGGACCCCCTCGGGTGATCACGCGCGTCCCGGGCCCCCCTCGGGTGGACACGCGTGTCCGGGGACTCCCTCGTGCGACCACGCGCGTCCCGGGCCCCCTCGGGAGAACACTGTGACCAGGGACCCCCTCGTTGCGATCACGCGCGTCCCGGGCCCCCTCGGGCGAACACTGTGACCGGGGACCCCCCTCGGGTGATCACGCGCGTCCCGGGCCCCCCTGGGGCGGACACGCGTGTCCGGGGACCCACTCGTGCGATCACGCGCGTCCCGGACTCACCTCGAGCCCACATGCATGGTCGGGGCTCTCACCGGGACCCAACTCCCCCCGACCCCCTCCTGTGATCAGGCACTTCCCAAGCTTCCCTGGCTTGAGTTGTAGCGTCCAGGGGTCCCCTTTCCCAGGGTGGAGGGCGTGTCCAAGGGGCCGAGAGCGCTTGTCAGGGGCTCCCTTCTCCCTGGGCCGACCACGCGGGTTCCAGAATCCAAGAAGGAAACCAAAGCTTCATATCTACAAGGCAAATGTGTATTTGCTCTACCACTGAGCTACATCCCTAAACAGCCAAAGCAAGAATTTTTTGACAAGTAGCACCTCCCGTTGTTCAGGGATTTGCTCGATTGGGCACCAGTAATGTCTCCATTGTGAAACTTGTTGTTACTGTTTTTTGGCATATCAAATACACCACCGGGAGCTTGCCAGACCCTCCTGAGTGGGGCAGGATACTCTCGGTAGCTTGCCGGGCTCTCGGAGAGGCATGAAGGAATCAAACAGGGTCCACGTGTGCAAGACAAACGCACTACCCGCTGTGCTATTTGATAAGTAGCACTGAAAAACAAGTCATACAACAAAACAAAAAATGCAAATACATATGCAACTTTTAAAATATAGAAATGAATTTCCAAATTACACCCCTCAAAAAATCTAAATTTCAAGTTATTTTATTTCCTCCAAAAGGTCTCCAAATAAACATACTGCCAACATTTTAAAGTGACTTTTTTTTTTTTTTTTGCGCTTTTTGGGTCACACTTGGCAATGCACAGGGATTACTCCTGGCTCTGCACTCAGGAATTACTCCTGGCAGTGCTCAGGGGACTATATGAGATGCTGGGAATTGAACCCGGGTTGGCCACACGCAAGGCAAATACCCTACCCACTGTGCTATTGCTCCAGCCCCTTAAAGTGACTATTTTTGGTCACCTCCCACCACCTCTACATCTCCCATTTATGGAGGAACTGATTTATGATACTGCTAATATATTGCTAATATATTGTAAACCACATAAAAATGTATTTTATGCATGTATCCTTTCACACCCACCATCAGTGTCCACTTCTCTACACCAATGTCCCAAGGACCCACCCATATCATCAGCCCCAGTACCACGGCCTTAATCAAATATGTTTAATTTGCTTTACACTTCTTAGGTCTCTCAAAATCTAGTCCTTAGTTTAAAGCACAACTCAAGAGTTGCTTGAAAACTCGCCATTTCATGGTCAGACCCAATGACCAAAAGTAATGAAAACATTGATCAGATTTGAAACGTGAACAGGTATATAATGGATTCTTGGGGAGATACACTCAGATTCAACACAGCCCAAATGTAAGTGAAATGAGAACCTATTTACTAAACTGTTATGTTCACTACCTAGAGAAGGAAGGGTTAAAGTTCGATCTGGGTGCAGGGCTGGTCCTGAGGCACAATCCATCTCACCTCCTAATCTACAAAGGCTAAACTCAGAGACTCCTGTAATGCTCTCAAAAGTTTGATGATTACCTGGTTCTGATTTTTCTCAGAGTTTAACTCCCTGGCTGTGCTGGGGGACGTGCCTGGGTAAGTTGCAATCAAGGCAAGCGCCTTGACCCATATATTCTCTCTCTGGACCAATTAAATTATGAACTTTCATTAATTTTTTGAATAACATAGCTGTCATATTTTTGACAAGGTATCAAATTATAAGGGTTCAAGAATGAACATATACATTAGATTCTAAATTAAAATAAATTTTTATTAAAAGCATCTTTTAAAATTACAGCATGTTTATTCTTACGCTGTTAACTGTCAAACTACAACAACCATATGAAGCATAAAACACTTCAACAATCTAAATGTAAACCATATTTTTAAAACAAAAAGCAGTCTTAACACACCTCGAATTTTAGATGCCAATGTATTTTGTCAAAGGATATAGCTTATATCAAAAGAACATTTATAATATTTCTACAGTAAATAGTTGTAGTAATTTCTTACATTTCCAATTATACAAATAAAAACTGTCTGTAAATATTACTATTATAGTTGACCAAAACTGACCAGAGAAACAGCTTTTGAAGATCTTAAGTTAATTGTAAATTGGCAAGAATTCTTTTTCTTTTCATTCTTCCTTTTAAGGTAAGTTGAGACCATTTTAAATTTCCCAAAACTGATGAGCACTGCTTTTTTAATTCATTTAAGTCACACTTGAGAAGAAAAATTCTAGATAAATCACTGAACCAAAACCCCAAATAAATTCATATGCTATGGTCTCTTACTGTGCTTATAAGTGCTCCAAGTTAAAATTCTACATACCAGATTACAAACAAAATTCTTAGACTATTACAAAATATAAATTCTCTTATTAAAAAAAAATCCCTCAAGATTTTTAATTTACTGTACAGAGGAATTACATTTTTAAAGTATGTCCTCATCATACACATTATTTCTTACCATCATCTTTCACATTTTTGCTCCTTTCCAAGAAATTTACATGTGTCCCATTTCACATAGCTGCATATTTTAAATTGGGTACAGCCATGTTTGGGACTTAAGGATAAAGAAGCCTACATTTCAGAGAATGTTTAAACTACATCCGTAGAATACTACTGATGTTAAAAACGAAAAGGAGCTCATATTTCCCTCTATTATTCTGAGGTTTACTCCAATTAATATAAAAAATTACCATGCTATGCATGTTTTTGTTTCTGCTTAAAATAAAAGTCAAAATGATAAAGGTTTACGCCTACATAAATGAAGTGAACCGCTTAGCTCTTGATTTTTCTGTTTATGTTTCATATATAATGTGGGGTTTTTAAAACTTCATCTATTTGGGAAAAATGGTTTAAAACCACCACACAAGTTAATACACTTGCAGTTAAAACTATTCCAGAAGCCTACTTATTTGACTAGCTAACATTTTCTGCAGTGTTTAATTGATAGCTAAATTTAGTGACCACAAATAGCTTAGCATGTTATTCTGAAGTAAAGCAAGGAGTGCTTCATGCACTGACAATAAGAGTCTTTCATTTGCTAATACTTTTAAGTAAGCAATAAAATTTAGTGTTTGCTAACAGAAAGTCTAAAATGGTTCACTACAAAACAACCCTGTAGGTGTCCCTTTTATCAATAAAATTCCAAGTGCCAAATTTCATTACAGGGTCCATAATATTTTTAAAAAAACCAATTACCAAGTTACCTAGACTTTGCAAGATTAATCACTCAATTTCAGCAAATGAGAAATAGGCAATGTGCAAAAGTTCCCAAATTAACACATCAGGGATAACAAGTGCTTATCAAATCTAAACTTTATAGTGAGTTGTAAAGCCTCAGAAAGATAAGAATAAGACTGATTTTATTCCAATTTTGAAAAGTCTAAATTTTACCAAGATACTCAAATATCTCCTTCTTTCAAAAATCCTTAACTTACAACATCTTCCAAAATAGTTCCGTTTCTCTACTTGTATTAGGCACACTATCTTGCATTTTAAAATATATCTTACACACAATCTTATACTTTCTTGCTGCTTCAGTGTTTACAGTATTGCTAAACATACTAATATACATTGTTAAGATGATCTCATAAATAATCTATTTTAACCTTCTTTGGCTAACAGTACCATTCTGTCTTTCATACATGTGTCTTATTCACAAAGTGCTTCCTGTGAGAACTGCTTTCAATGAATGCATTAAACTTGCAAAATCTAGCTTCCCACAATATGTAGTACTACCCTGTACTAGCAGTCCCATATTTACAAAATATTTAAACTTTACAACAAATCCATTACCATATAAAAAAGTGCAATTCTCTCTCACCCCATCATCTGGGGCAATGACATTCTTCATAAGTTTCTACAGAATAGCAGCCTATGATAAGCAAATAAGGTGCTTAGCTTATGCCCAAAGATCTACTACGTAAGACACTGGGCAGTACTTTGTACAGTGAGGAGTCTGTATGCAGGCTACTGGCGCAGCGGTGCCCCGGTCAGGTTGGCCAGCTCAATGAGAGCCAGGGCTCCGTGGAGACGCTCCCGCTGCTCCTGCAGGCGGCGCTGGGCCCCATTCTTCTCATCATCCTCCTCGTCAGACTGCAGGTACTCCAGAGGGTCCTGCTGTTCCTGATCCGCCTTGGGAACCAGCTTCCCTTTCAAGGTGGGAGTCCTCTGCTCCCTGGTCTCCCAGTACCTGTGTGAAATGCACAACTGTTAAGACAGCTCAAAGTTTCCTTCTATCTTTGTCAAAAAGGCTCCTTAGCACTGTGCTATTCTAAGTGTTTCAGTTTGTAAAATCAGATCCATGATTTCACACATAGGACTTCTACTTTACATTACAGAAAGGGACAAAACATGTAAGACTTGAGGGATTCATTAGTATTAAAAATATTCATAGTAGTTTAATTTGTAATAGCCCCAGAGTTGAGGAATCCATGAAATAAATTACATTGAGAAATAAAGAATGCAAGGTTGATGTACTCAACAATCTAGTTAAATCTCAAAATAATCATGTTTAATGAAAAAGCCAAATGGCTCTTGCTGTATGATTTTATTTGTATACAATTCAAAGAGAAGCAGACCAGTTTATACAGAAGAAGACAGATCCGTGTTGAATGTGAAGGACGGCAATGAGAGGCAGGAGGAAGAAATTACAAAGAGCCAAGAGAAAACTTGGGAGGCAAAAGTGTTCCCAGTCACCGCTGGATATGTTTCTGGATACCTCTGAGCCACTGGAAATAAGAAGAAAGTACCACAGTGGCCAGGTTGAACATGGAACCACCTACACAACAGGGAGTGGTCCCAGGCCCTGAGCATTGCATGGGTGGTCCCCAAGAAAAAGAAAACATTTGGAAGTGATAGGTATTTTGGACTATTTTTTTGTTTTGTTTTAGTTTGATTTGGGGGCCACGCCCAGCAGTGCTCATGGATAAAACCCAGGTAGGCTGCAAGCAAGGCAAATGCCCTACCCACTGTACTATCATTCTGGCTCCTATGTTATACGAAACACTATCTTGACTGAGGTTAGACTCACATATATCAAAACATCAAGTCAAATACTTTAAATATGTACCATTCAATATATGTCAACTATACCTCAGGAAAACTTTTTAAAATTACAAACCAAGGAAGAACAAAACTAGATTTCAGTAAATTCAGACTGCTCATACTGGAAAGTTCTGACAATCAATATGAGGTATTTAAAAAGAAAGACAATGGTTTAATAAGATATGAAGGACAATCAAAAAAGGAAAATGGCAAAAAAAATTTTTTTTTCAAAACTTAATATTAAAGATCATCTCTGCATTTTGCAAAGACCCCTCTGGCAGCAATATGAAAAACAGACTGAGAGGGTTAAAGTAGTTTTCAAGTTCAGAGTTGTTTGGCCACAGCAACAGTACAAAGGTTCGGGCGCTAGTCTTGCATGTGGCCGACCCAAGTTCAATCCCTGGCACCTCTTGTAGTCCTCCAAGCACGACCAGGAGTAATTCCTGAGTGCAGAGCCAGGAGTAAACCCTGAGCATCAATGGGTATGGCCCAAAACTGGTGGGGAAAGAAGTTGAGAGAATAAAGAATAAAGAAGAATCCTTTAAGCTCTATTTTTAAGTCCATAAAACAGAGGATAAATACAAGCATGGTCAGCAACTTTCTGGCTTATATTACGTGAAAAGAAAACGGAGGCAGCAGTAGGAGGCAGCCAGGAGGAATGGAAAAGGAGAGACGCACAAAGACAGACAAACTCCAACCTTTACAGACCTTACAGTGTGGCAAGGAAAACAGACACAAAGGACCAGTTTGCAGTGGAGGCTTTGAAAGGGAAAGTCAAGTGTTCTAGAAGTACCTGTCTATTAAGTGTGTCTAACCCAGTTTATTTTCGGAGGTTGACAAGGTAAGCAAGAACTTCACAAAACGAAGAATGAGCAGAGCAGGCGGTAAAAAGAAAAGGAAGGCCACACTCACAGTCAGCAGAGGGAGAATGAGCCTTACAACGCCCCAGAGAAAGGAAGCCCAGTGGCTTCGATTGCACAGCCAAGAGCGGTGCAGTCAAGCATTCTAGACTAAATGCAGAGGAAGCACTGCACTGAAAGAAACTACTACAAGTTTAAAATAAATGCTTAAGCCAAAACAGTCTTAGAGACACTTTTGAAGTCAGGGCCCTCTTATTGCCATTAAAATCAAAACTTGAGCTGGGCAAAATCTTAGGATTTTACTTTAGAAGAACTCTAAGTCTTTAGTTCTACTGTTCAAGCTTACATCTTAACTCCAGAGAAAAGAGGGTTGTGCTGACAAAACACACCATTCATAAAAGTTCTTAAGATATAGAAAAGTCTTGTTTTAGAAACAAAGGTTCTTCAGGCTATTATCAGGTAACTGTTTTTTCCACACGTATCCTAATACTACTTCTAGCAAGTTTGTTTTTAAAAGAAATAAATTATCATTTCAACTTATTTTCGAAAACAGCTAAGAAAGTAATCTTGGGAGCCTCCAATTCTCTGTACTATCTCCAAGAGAAAATTATTTTTTAAGTGGTGGTGGGGGGTGGCTGGGCCACACCCGTCTATGCTCAGGGCTTATTCCTGGCTCTGCACTCAGGGAATCAGGACTCGGTGAACAGTATGTGGTACCAGGGCTTGAATCCAGGTCAGGAACACTCAAGGCAATTGCCCTGCCCACTGTACTATCTCTCCAGCAGTGCAATTTTCTTTGTTATGAGAGTACTGGTAAAGTACTGGTAAAGTCCTCTCTGGTCAACATTGTGCAAAAACAACAGCAAGAACCTTACTTTGCCAGCCACTCAGCAACAGCCTGATTATCCGTTGCCTGATGCTTACAGAGCACATCGGTGGGTTCCTCCCGCTTCAACCTGGCGTACGGGTGCTTTGGACAGTGGCGGTTTGCGTGGGTAAATCTGCTCAAACAGCCTTCAAAACGGAGAGAAGCGTATCAGAATCTGGGCAACTACATAGAGGGAAAATGTCCAGTTTCCCGGATATCCAAGAAAAGGAAACGCAGATGATGAGATTTAACATTTAACTTGGAGGAGGAAAAATGTCACAGACACAATACAATTAGGGCTAATAAGAGGAATGAAAAAAGTTTATCTCAAATTAACACAAATATGCATTCAAGCTCACTAATCAGTAATTATCATGTCATAAGAATGTTCAAAACTGGGGCTGGAGCAATAGCACAGCGGCTAGGGCATTTGCCTTGCTTGCGGCCAACCCGGGTTTGATTCCCAGCATCCCATATGGTCCCCCCAAGCACCGCCAGGAGTAATTCCTGAGTGCAGAGAGCCAAAAAGCAAAAAAAAAAAAAAAAGTTCAAAACCTCTGACCCTTCTTACATGAGAAAACGTCTCAAACAATGAAAAAGGCTTTAGGGAAAAAACGAGAAGATCTTCAGCCTTGTTAGGAACAAGCAAATTTAAATTGCTGGATGTTCAGTAACCAATACTGAAGTAACCATTAAGTATGTTTAAGCATATCTATTAACTGTTACATTTGTAGCAACTGACAATCAACCAAGTCACAAAGCACTATTAGCTATACTGATTTCAAATACATTTGTGTAAAAATATGGTAAGGAAAAAATTTAAGAAGCTATGGTTAAGAGACTAAGAACATTTAAGAAAAGTGGCTCGAGGGTGGGGAGATGGCTCAAGAAAAGTAGTCCGAGGGTGCAGAGACGGCTCACTGGACTGAAGAGTATGTTTTCACATGGAGCTCTGCTCCCAGTACCACATGCTCCCCGCCCATCCATGGTCAGAAGTGATCCCTGAGCCAGAAGTGGACCCTAGGCACCAGTTGGGGTGGCCCAAAATAACAGAACAAAAACTTTTTTAAAAAAGTCATTAAAAACAGGGGCTGGAGAGATAGCACAGCGGGTAGGGTGTTTGCCTTGCACGCAGCTGACCCAGGTTCGATTCCCAGCATCCCATATGGTCCCCTGAGCACCGCCAGGAGTAACTCCTGAGTGCAGAGCCAAGAGTAACCCCTGTGCATCACCGGGTGTGACCCAAAAAGAAAAAAAAAGTGATTAAAAACAAATAAATTCCTGTTGGAACTATTAGAATTCTTCCCTCGTCCTTTACCAAAAATCTAGATAATACAAGTCCTTCTAACTGTTTAAAAGTCAAAGCCAGAGTAGTAGGCTATTATAACTGCTGCTATAGTTATGTATGTGAATTTTACACTGCCTATGAGTGGGTATGATATATTAATTGCTCTTTAATATTTTCATCTCAGAAGAATATTTTGAAATTATTTCCCAAAAGTCGAGGGTGGAACACAATTAGAGAGGAAAACTCACAGTGTTCTATGAAGTTTAAAAAGAGAAAAAAAAAATCTCCCTAAAATACTCAGCAAAAGATATTTTAGCTTTAACTCACAATAAATTACTTGATATATTAATTCTTAGTACCATACCATTTTCTGAACAAACAAAAGGCTTCTCTCCAGTGTGAAGACGCTGATGTGTTTTGAGCTGTCCACTTTGAACAAAGGCTTTCCCGCAGTCTGGATAATCACACAGATAAGGTCTCTCACCTAAGGAGACAGAAAAGACATATCATTTCTGAGAAAGAAAGGTGAGGGTTTGGGCAGAGACTCCAAACAAGGAAACGCACTGGCCTCTACAAAGCTGCGAGCACTGCTAATGCCGCACTTCAGGAAGATAAGCAACAGTTCACTGAGGAGCATAGAATATTCTCTTAAGATATAAGCTCCTTTCGGTACCCAGCTCCAAATCCGAGTGAGAATCTTCTTCATATCCTTTCTTTCATAACCATGATCAAATCCCTTGCTCTTACTGATTGTTTGGTTTTGGGACCAGACCAAGCGGATGTTCAGGAGTTACTCCTGGCTCTGACTCAGGTATTACTCCTGGTGGTGCTCAGGGGACCATATGGGATGCTGGGGATCAAACCCAAATTGGTCATGTACAAGGCAAGCGCCCTACCTGATGTTCTATCTCTCTGACCTCTATCAGTGATCAGTGCTTATTTTCCTATCAAAGCTTCCCCTCTCCAACAGCCCCTGCCCCTGCCCAAGAGCCTCCAAACCGTTTTCTATCTTCTTTCTGTTTGGGGGCCATACCCAGTGGTACTCATGACTCACCCCTTGTTCTGTATTCAGGAATCACTCCTGATGGGGCTTGGAGGACCATATGGGATGCCAGGCATTAAAACGAGTCAGCCACATGCAAGGTAGTGCCCTACCCATTGCGCTACCACTCCAGCCCCTGCATGGTTTTCTGCACAGTACACAGCACTTTCAAAACAGCTACCATACAATTTTTGCTTTTGCCATACCATGTACTTGCTAAGTCACCCCCAAGCAGCAGTCCTTGAACAACTGAAAATTACCTGATGACCTTTAAGGGATCCTCCATTGATCTGCACTATAGCTACTGAGTTTGGAGAGGTGGGGGAGGGGGAGGCAGTGTTCATCTTACTACCCTCCTGGAGATTCAGTCCGTCCATGAGGCAGGCAACATATTGAAAATACTTTCTCTGCTCTCCCAATCCTGTAGGTTTTCAGTTAAACTCCCCACTGCATGTTCCCCTTCACCGACTCAGTGTCCTGTTGTCTCTGTATCAGGGACCTTCATACACTGAGCATGCCTAATACTCCATCCCTTCACTGACTCAGTGTCCTGTGCTGTCACAGTATTAGGGTCCTTTTATATGCTAAACATGATGCCTAATACTCCATTCAAAGTTCCTTACAAGACAGAGTGCAAGGTAAAGAAAGTTGTCACAAACAGCTTAGGGGCTGAAGCACAAGCCTGGCTTGTGCTTTCAATCTCTGCCTTTCAATCCCCAGCACTGCATGGCTCTCCATACATTGTGAAGTATAGTCCCTGTAGCATGGAGCACTGCAGGGCGGGGTCCTGGTGGGGCCAGCAACGCAGCAATTCTGAACCCAAGTTACAAATCTGTCAGGCCAACACCACCAGAATATCATTTTGTCAGGCCAACACCACCTGAATATCAGGTTATCAGATACCAGGAGTGATTCCTAGGTTAATTCCCCAAATACACTGTTTCATCATAAACTTACTATTTCTTGAAGAGTATTTTCTTACCAACAATATAAACCAGTTATTTCAGCATGACTCAAAGAACCATAATAAATTCTCTGACATACTAACTTTGGACTCCAAATAAGTATAAATTCTCTACACAAAAAGATACGATTATCTCAGAGTTATTGATTATCTACACTTTGGGGATTATTACTACAGTGATATTTAATTCTGAAAACTACACTTTACCTTAATTCAGTGGCCAGACCAAACTCTAATGACATGCTAAGAACTTAAGACATCCTATTAAAAATTGAGCCATTGTCATTTTATTATTTGGCTTGCAAGCATTTTTAACAATTATATAGACAACTAAGAACATCACAAGTAAAACTTAGGTTAAGTAGATAGGACATTGGTAAATTCACCAATAGCATTTCTGCAACAATTAGATTAGTTACCATGATAACTTCAGATGTTACCTGGTACATGTTCAGAAAACCATCCTTCCACAACAAAACTGACAACAAAAAACAACAAACCTTCAGAATCAGGAAATATAAGGTAACCCAAATAATGATGAGCTCACAAACAATCTCAGCTTTCAGTTAAGTCTTATGCTACTGACACTTCTAAAATTGCTCAGGTTACCTGTGTGAGTCCTTTTGTGAGCCTGGAGTGACTTTTCCCGTGGAAACACCCTGTTACAGATGTTACAACGAATTCTGCTAGAAGAATGCTCTCCTTCACTTATTAAGTCCCGAACAGTGTCTGCTCTGGGTCTGCCACGTCGGATTCCATCCTGTTAACAATTTTTAGAAATATCAATACAATTTCACTGAACTATTCATTAAATTATATTTGTAATTCAAATGCACATATTTGTGTGTGTACATACACACACATACACACATACATACATAAAAGAACTATAATAATCTTTTAAAACCTTTGAGTAACATCAATGAAAATGACAGAACATTAATTCCAAAGGATCGTCCTTCCACAGATAACTCTCAGAAACAGCTTTGTCTGGCTCCAGAGAGCTCAATACTGCAAACAGCAAGCCTTCGCTTGAGTGGCAGCTTCATGTTCTACTTGTCTTGGCTCTTCCCTGTCCCCAGTAGTGGCCTTCAACCATGGGGCCACAGACTGATGCGGGTCCAAAGTGTTGCAAGGTTGACCATGATCCTGACTGCCTGTCTGAGCCGGGATGTAGGACAGTGCATAGGAAGGTTGAAGAGCAGTGACAGAAGGCAACAGTCTTCATTCTCACTGTGGGAACCCTTTCCTGCTCCAAGGAGAACAGAGCAGGCCTTAAAGAACGTCATTTGCATAGTTTTTTTCTGGGAGCTACTTGAAGAATTGTTTCAGGGAAAATCATTGCATGAATAGCTTATAAAACAACTGTGATAGGAGAATATCACACTTCTGGAGGCCAAGGTCAAGATCAAAGTGTCAACATGGTCAGGTGAGGGCCTGGCTTCTATCATGCAGCAAATGGGGTCAAGTCTCTCCAGAGCCTCTTTCATAAAGACACTAACTAACCCCATTCACCAGTGCTCCAACTTAACAAACTAAGCATCATTCTAGTATCTTGCTTCCCAATAGCATTAACTTTGGATGGAAAGATTTCAACATAACATTTAGACTAGACCATCAAGCAAAGCAACATACACATACATAACTGCTGAAGGGAAGGGAAGGACAAAAAATGTGAAGAAATAATTACCACAAACGTGGCAAGTTTTACTATACAAAAATATAATTTCCAAGAAGTTCAATGAACTTCAAGAAGGGGGGAGGGGGGGAACCTGCAAGACATATTGAATAAAGCTGTCAGAATACAAAGCAGGTCTGCCTGAGATAGCTGACAGAGCTGGATTGTGTGCCTTGCAGAAGCAGAGACTAGAGAGAGGTACCAACACCAGTTTGAGGGTCAGTCCTGGTGGCCTGAGCACTACGGGGGGGGGGGGGGGGGGGTTTGGTAAGGGAGGGTAAGATCAAGGTAGATAATCTTGGAAGCGGAAAAAGAGAATTCATCAAAATCAACAATTTCTCAGGGACCAGAGCAATAATACATTGTGTAAGGCAATTGCCTTGCATGCAGCCAACCTGGCACCCCATATGACCCCCAGAGACAGCAGGAGTTCACCTTGAGCAGAGTCAGGACTAAGCCCTGAGCACTGCTGGTTGCTATCCAAAACCAAATCAAAACAAAACAAAAAGCTCAATCAATTTCTCAGGAAAAACTGCAGAAAGCAATGAGATGATGTGTTGATGGGAAAATACTTGACCGGTAATTTTATATTCAGTGACCTAATTCTTCAAAAATGAAGAAAGCTGGGTTACACCTCAAAGGATGGTATGAAGTCCGCTTCAAGATACTACAGTCTTCCCACTAGGTGTGGCCTGCCCCGCCCTCCTCTCCTCCCCTCCCCACCCCCATCTGAGAGCACTGCATTGTCAGGACAAAATTCTGAACTGTCAGACCAGCACTGCAAGGAGTGACCCTTCCCCGGTGGACCTCCCTATGAAAAGAAACACAGAAAGTGAGGCAGAAATTAACACATTCCCAACAAGGAAGGGGAAGAAAGAGAAAGTAAGTTAAACATATACAGCTGTATCCAAAATGGAAATGTTATTACTGCTCAATATAAAAACCTAAGGCCTCCCAAAAGCTTAAAATCATTGGTCTAAATCCTTGATAAATAAATATAAGCTTATGCAAAATTTCCTTTTGAAAGAAAAGCTCAAGCTCAACATGGAACTTATATAGGATGAATAAATATAAGCTTAAGCAAAATTTCCTTTTGAAAGGAAAGCTCAAGCTAAACATGAAACTTATATAGGATGAATCGTGTCTAAAAGAAAAGTAGGCATTAGTCTATTTTCACAACAGACAATGTCCACCACGGATGAACAAAGAAAAAGGTAAAAAGGCAGTAGAAAACCATTGGGGTCTTAAAAAAAAATCATTTTTTATGGCTTTAGGTGACTTCTGCAGCCACAGGTTTGCTACAAAAGTGAAAAAAAAAAAATGACCAAAAGGCAAATGCTACGAGATTTCGCTAGAATGAGAAACCTTAAGTGGTTAAAGAATTAGAAACAAAGCAGAATGATAGTTGCCGGGGCTTTGAGAATGGAAGAAAGGGTTTTGGAGTGCATCTAGTTTCAGGTTTTTCAAGACGAAAAGTTTCTAAGAATGTGTATGTACAATATTTGTAAATATCTGCTAAGATAATGCGTATAATTACATGTTATTGTAAAAATGTTCACTGGCCCATTTTGATTCGAGTTCCCAACGAGGACAACGTGACTAACTTGCTTTGGGAGAAAAAAAAAGTTAAAATGACTTGTGTGATTTCTGAGCAGACTTTTAAAAGCAAATGCGTGCCACCATGTGTCTTATTTTTCCTCTCTGCCGTTAAGACCCAGGTTCCCAAGCAGGAATATGCCTTCTGGGTACCAGTAAAAAAATAAATAAAAGATTTGCTATATATTCAGCCCTCATTAAACCGACATGTAACATTAAGCACCTGTGCTTTAGGTAAAAACAGACTTTGGAGCGCTTGTTGTCTAGGTGATTTACACGTTTTACCTATAGCAAGCTGCTTGCCCGACACAGAAACTGAGTACTAACTGGCACCTTTCATTCAGGGCACAAATACTGAGCACCTTTGTTCTGCATTTACAGAATATAAAGCAGTAGAGTCCCGAGGGGTCCAGCAGAGAAAAGGACCCGGACCCCACAGTCAGCCTAGACCCAAGCAAGATGTTCTCAGTGGTGCTAGGATTAGTGCATGTCCCAGGGCCCCAGCACTCCCGCTGCCAGCAGCGACCCTGTCCCCCTCCCCACAAAGTGGTCGCAACCCACGGTCGCTGTCAGTCCCAGATCGACACAGCCTGCGAGCTACTCGAGCTGAAAACAGCTGTTCACCTCTTCCTCCCACTAAGCCCCCCGGAGTACCGAGCAGAACCTCGGGCGGGTGAAGCACCTGCAGCGCCGGAGAACCGGTCCGCCCCCGGGCCCGGAGCGGCGCGCGCTCACGCCCGCGCCCGCCCCCGCTGCAGGGGCCGCTTTTGGCGCGCGGCAGTGACGTCACGCGCACCCGGCCCCGCCCCGCCCCGCCGCCGTAGCGTTTTAAACTCGGCCCCGCCCCGCCCCGCCCCGCCCGCCCGCCCGCCCGCCGCGTCCGCGGGCGCTGCCGACTCGGAGGCGCGCCGTTAACCGGCCCCGTGACCCGCGGCCGCGCCCCTCACCTTGTGCCCGCTGTCCGGGCTGCTCGCCTCCTCCTCGTCCTCCCCGGCCGCCGCCGCGGCGGGCGGGGCAGTGGCGTGGCCGCGCAGCCCCGCGGGCTCGGAGCGGGCGGCCGGCAGGGCGGCGGCGGCGGCGGCGGCGCCCCCGACCCCGGGGCTGAGCGTCACGTTGTGCGCGTTCTCGCCCCAGCGCCACGGGTACACCATGAAGTCGCTGAAGCCGGGGCTGGTGGGGACGAGCGGCGGCGGCGGCTCCGGCTCCCCGCCGCCGCACGCGGGCTTCAGCGGGGCGCTCCTGATGACCGACACCAGCACCCGCTTCGGGGAGTCGTGGCAGAAGATGACGGGCGGCGGCGGCCGGTCCGCCATGGGGCCTCTCCGCGCCCCGGGGCCCGCCGCCCGCAGCTCGACCGCGCTCCGCGTCGCCGGCCTCAGTCGTCCCGCCCGCTCATGGCCAGCGGGCGTCCCCCGGAGTCCTCCCGCGCCCGGCGGGCCACGGCGACTCAGCCAGCAGCAGGGCGAGCGGGCCGGAGCCCGGTCCGCTCCGGTCCGGGCGCGCCGCCCTCGGCTCCGCGCTCCCCGAGGCGACCTGCGGCGGCGGCGGCGGCGGCAGCGAGCGCGGCCGGCCCGGCGGCCGTGACAGGAGAGCGGGAGGCGCGGCGCCGAGCCCCGGGATAACAACCTGCCGCGGCGGTCCCCGCTCTGACTTTTCCCGCGTTACATTTCGCGCCTGGGCGGAGCCAGCCCCCGCGAGGCCGCTGCTCGCTGGCCGCCGCGACGAGTGGCAGGTGGCGCGAGCCAATGGCAGGCCCGGGGCCGCTCCCCGGACCGCGCGGGGCGGGGCCAGGCCGGCGCGCGAGCCGTCGCGCCCCGCCATTGGTCGCCGTGCCCGTATTTTTTTTTTTTTCCCCCTCCCGGAGGCCCGACTGCGTTCGAAAGCCCGCGGTGCGCGCCGGGCCTGCGGCGGCCGGGACGCCCCCGCCCCGCTGCGCTCCGAATGGGGCGGGGCCGGGGGCGGGCGTTGGGCGCCGCCACGCGCGGGGCCCGCCCTGCGGGAGCTGTTGGCCGGCGGTTCCCGCGCCCGGGTTTAAAGGCGTGCTCGCCCATTTATTTTTCTCCCTGCTCCCGCCCCTCGTCCCTCCGAGCCTGGCGGGGCTCCACCGTCCGCCTGAGCGCCCTCCGGGCCCTCGGAGGAACCCGGTTCTCGGTGCGCTCGCGTCTGCGCAGAGCCGACGGGTCCGCCCCGCGGGCGCCGCGTCCCTTTCCGACCCCGCGGGAGCCCCGGTTCTCTGCTCGCCGTCTCGCTGCGAGTGGGCATCTGGCTGGCTGGGCAGCGGCCTGCCCGCACGCACAGCTGAGCCCACCTGCATGCGTACCCGGAGCCCGAGCCCCGCACCTGCGCGGGTGCCAGAACCGCCTTGTATTTGAGTGAATTTCCAGTCTAAAAGACGAGGGTTGGTTGCAGCAGTGCAGGTCTACGTAGGAAGTCGCTAAGTCAGTCTCAAGCACACACAGATGCACAATTAGGCGTATATTAATACAGCCCACCGCTGAAAACATTTTAAGTTTAACTCACGTGAACAACTTTTTAAAAGTGTTACAAGGACGATGAATAGAGTAGTATGGTTTCTGAGGGAAATAATATAAATACACGTTTTGCTTTTAAATGCACAAAATATCTCAAAACATAATCAAGGAAATGATATCCGTGACTCTAAGGGGAATTTTGTGGGTGGGAAACATCAAAATATTTCCAAGTCCAGAGTTGCAACGATTACACAATGTGGCCTGAAGATATTTCAGCAGTATATTTTGAACACTGAGCCAAGTTAAAGTATCTTCTTTAAAAAACTAGTACACAGCTACCCTTTCTTAGATACTACTTTAGCAGTAACAGTAATGTGGATATTTCAGTTACATAATATTCAAAATTTCTGATGTGGTAAGTAGCCTCAATTCACTGTAACACACACTGTAACACTGTCCTCCTGTTGTTCATCAATTTGCTCAATGGAGTGGGCCCAGTAACACAACAAATTGCGAGACTTGCTGTTGCTATTTTTTGGCATATCAAATACCTCACGGGGGAGCTTGCCAGGCTTTGCAGTGCCGGCGAGATACTCTTGGTAGCTTGCAAGGAATCAAACTCGGTTTGGCTGCATGCAAGATAAATGCCTTACCCGCTGCGCTATTGCTCCAGACCTTAATGGTATGCTCCTAATATTTGAGAGTTGATTGATTCTGAAATATATCTACTCCTGGGCATAATTACTTGACTCAGGCTTCAGTTGCTGTAGTTCCTAACACCCCAAAAGGGAGGTCCACCGTGGGACTGGGATGGACCCAAGGCGAGGGGCAAAGCTACCCCCGCATCGAAATGGGACATTACAGAAAGCATAAATGCATGATCTTGATGCAAGCTGTTATGACTTAAGGGACAGGACCCCCCCAGGGGAAAGGACAATCAGAACTGACCTGAGGACTTAGTCTGGGATTTAGGGTAATAGCCTTGCTTGCTCTCAGATCCCGGAGAATTTAGTTTTGGGATCTTTATCGAATGTGGCACTTTCTAAAATCTCAGGGCTAGGACGAAGGAGACGTTACTGGAAATCGATGAACAACAGAATGACAGTGATCTTTATCTCTTACTGTGTTTATCCAAATGACTGCAAGTATTGGAAAGAAGTAGATTGTGTGTAATCACAAAAGGGGCAACAGTGCTCTATCTCTCCTGCCACCATCTGCGTTCGGTAGTCTCCCGCTGCTTCCCCCACCCCAGGGAGGTCAATGGCAAGGGGCAGGTGAAGGAAGGAAGGAGAGTAAGGCTGATTGGTGTTAGCTAACTCCTGGCTCTGTATTCAGGGATCACTCCTGGCAGGCTTGGGCAACCCAATGGGATGCTGGGGATTGCACCTGGGTTGGCTGCATGCAAGCAAGAATCCTACTCTCCTGTGCTATCTATTCCTCATATCAGTTTCTGGTTTTTTTTTTCAATAAGAACAATTTGGATAAAAAAATTTTTTGGTACTGGGCCACAAGCTGTGATGACCAGAGCTTACTCCTGACTCTGAGCTCAGAGATCACTCCTGGTGGGGCTCAGGGGACTGTGGGGGGTTCTTGGGATCAAACTCATGTCAGCCATATGCAAGGCAAATATTCTACCCAAAATACTATTGCTGTGACCCCATAACTTCTTTATCCATCAACTATTGTTGGATATTTGGGTTGTTTACATATCCTGGCTCTTCATTTACCTCAAAATAAGTGAGTTAAACCAAGTTGGTCAAATGACAGATCCTACTTACTGGTGCTCTACCAAATTAATCCACTAGACATTAAAGGAGAGGCGGAGGCAGAAGGAAAAAGGAATTCCAGAGCCAGAAGGAGAATGAAGGGTGATCGAGAAGAAGAATGAAGTAGCATGGAGGAGAAAGAAGCAGGGGGAGAAGCCGAGAGAGAGAGAGAGAGAGAGAGAGAGAGAGAGAGAGAGAGAGAGAGAAGTGAATGGAGATGAGATTGAATAAACAGCCTCAATTCTCAGATAATAAAATTCAGTTTGTACAAGTTCACATAATCCCATGAGGATGGATGAATAGCTCTGAAAATCACCTAGAGCTTACACAACCTGCTGAACCAAAAAAAAAAAAAAAAAAAAAACGAAAATGCCAAGAAATGTGGACTCCACTTCCGAGCCCCATTTCTCATCTTCCAAAACTTTCAAGCTTGGGGCCAAATCCAATTGATATTTTTATAGTTCGGTGGAAATAAAAAAATTCATATTTCATTTCATTTATCAAATTATTTACAAGTTAAAAGGGAGAAATAACCCATCTGTTTTGTTCTTGAAAAATGGTACAATGAATAAAAGGATATCTCTCATGGGCATTCTTATTACGGGCTAAACAAGATCCAACATTGCTGTTGCTAATACGTCCCAGAATGTAAGGTGAATCAGAACCTGGTCATTCTTAACAATTCCTCTTCATCACAGTGGCCTGACAACTGAGCTTGCTTTCTGCCAAAGGAGAATGAAAGGCATGCCAGGAATGTGTGAAGTGGACAGAGGGTGATTCCAGGAACAGAACTGAGGTCTTGCAAGATAAGCTCCTTCCACTGCATTTTAATGAACAATAACAAAGCTAAGAGAAAGATCGATTTACCTGGCCTAGAAACTGGCATTCTCAAACCCTGACAGCAGTTCATAGGCTGACAAACAACTGCTGAAGGTTTTGGTGCTGAAATTTTAGTTCTATTATAGTTCTTTCTTCAAGGGAATGGGCTGCTTGCTTGGACTTACATGACCTTCTTCCTCCACCAGTTTCACCAATTTCCTTTGCATTAGATGGCTCAGTGTACTCTGGTTCAAACTAGCTACACCTTTACTTCCACTGAGTGGTGTTAAGTAGAGTACCAAATTCTCAGCACTTTTCTTTGAATCTCATAATGTTGGTTGTCACCTACTTACTTTATCTACTGAGACACAACAATCTTCACACACTTTCCTCTAAGGAAACCGTTTGGGGATCATTTCTAGCGAATTATTCATAACAATTCTGTAGCATTGTCCTCCCATTATTCATCGATTTGCTTGGGCAGGCCCAGTAACGGTTCCATTGTGAGACTTGTTACTATGTTTGGCATATCGAATATGTCATGGTTAGCTTGCCAGGCTTTGCTGTGCTGGTTAGACACTCTCGGTAGCTTGCTGGGCTCTCCGAGAGGGGCAGAGGAATCAAACCCTGGTCAGCAGGACCAGCTGCGTGCAAGGCAAACGCACTATTTTGCTCCAGAGCAAAATAAATTATTTAGAATCTGCCTTTGAGACAGGATTGAGTGGTGATGGGAAAACTTGAAGTAATGATGGTGGAAAGGTATAAAGGTAGGATTGGTGTTGGAATATTGACTGTAATAAATTATTGTGAACAACTTTATAAAAATTAAAATAAATAAACATAGGGGTTCCACCTGGAGGTGATTGGTTTGAGCTTTCATTGTCTAACCAGTGAGAGATCACCGGGGCCACACTGGACTGTGATGTATGGAAGGGGTGGGATGGACTATGCAGTGCTAGAAATTAAAACTCAGGGCCTCAAAAGTTTTAAGCATGGGGCACAGAGATAGCACAGTGTGGGTAAGGAGCTTGCCTTGCATACATCTGACCTGAGTTTGACCCAACATTAAATATGGTCTGCCAACCCCACATATATAGATCCTGAGTCCAGCCAGAAGTGATCCCTGATCATAGAGCCAGGAGAAAGCCCTGAGCATTCTGGGTGTGGCCAAAAAACTAAAAGAAAAAATAAATAAAATAAAAATTGAAATTATGTCATCTACCTTAAGTTATTTCCTGGTGTTCCTGGTGCGCCCCC